CCCCCAGAACGCCTCCTCGACGTCTTCCCCCTCATCCGCGGCCGCGACTTCAGCATCGCCAACGGAGGAGCCCTCCTGGCCCACCCCACCGGCGACAAGAGCATCACCCGCGTAGAGCTCCTCGTCGCCCTCGTCCGCTACCGCACCATCCTCCGCAAACCGCGCCAGGGCCTCTGCTCCCGGTACCTGGCCTCCCTTCCCCCCAACGCCAGCCTGCGCGTCGGCTACAAGCCAGTCCTCACGCCCATTCACGGCGCCCAAAACGCCCAGCGCCCGCTCGTCGCCATGGCCACGGGCACCGGCCTCGCCCCCGTGAGGTGCCTCATCCACGAGCGCCTCACCCACCCAGACCCGGGACCCATGCTCCTCTTCTTCGGCAACCGGAACCGCTCCAAGGACTTCTTCTTCGAGAAGGAGTGGGATGATCTGAGCAAGGATGGAAATGGAGGTGGTGGTACAGGTGACGAGAATGCCACCCTGACCGTATTCACCGCTTTTTCCAGGGACCAGCCGGATAAGGTCTACATCCAGGACATCCTCCGGCGGGAGGCCGACACCGTCAACGAGCTCATCCCCAGGAATGCCATCTTCTCCATCTGCGGTGGCTCTACCAAGATGGCCGATGCCTGCAAGGAGACCGTCTTCGACTCGTTCAGGAGGAGCGGTGAAGGGTCAGACCGGGAGAAGCACCTTGAATCATTGACTTGGTGGCAGGAGATTTGGTAGCTGACATCTGGTGCGTATGCTACTGTCTTCTCCGGCATATTAACTGCCCAAGGGCCTTTGTCACGCCGATGATAGAATAGAATAGACATAGCCCAGGATATCTTGAGTGATGAAATATAATCTCAATTGCAAGTATTGTTTCAGCATATTAATACGATGGTGGCCAATCTTCGAACCAACGAGATATCTATGTAGAAAGAGCAACTCTAACTATCGAGTACAGGCCAGACGCCGCTTGGACCAAAACGCCGGGCTTCTTAGGTAGCAAAAGAACGAGGGAGAAAACAGTATCCACTCATCTCACCCATTTCGGGAGATGCTCAACAATATAACATATAAATAAATGCTCTGGTATAGCGGTTGTTCGAATTTAAAAGGAAAGGGAAGGAGTGTGTTTGTGTGTGTATTTGTAAGTGTTTGGTATAAAGAAGGGGAGGAGACCTGAAAACTCTGTGTCCGTGTCAGGCGGTCTCCCTGAAATCACATTCCAATCCGGCATTAGCATTTGACACGTTGGCTGTTATCCATCCATAACACCTTTTGTTTTTATATTGTACCTCAAATCATATCCAATCCAGGATCTCCAGACATGTAGGAAATATCGAATGGCCCATTAAATCATAACCCCTCAGCGATTGGGTCGAGAGGGAGAGAAGTAGAGCCGAAGTCGCGTGGGTGTATACATGTGCGTATATGTCGCACGGGTGAAATTATTATAAAGTAAAAGAATGTCGAAATGGGCGAGAATCGGTAATAAAGTTATGTAGAGAATCAATGGGGAGTGCTGCTGCCTTCCCAACTATATCGCTGATTGGGAATTTGCGGAACATGAATCAAATCCAGTGCTGGGTCGATCCGGTCTTTTCGTATTGGCTCCTCCTCCATTGTAGTTGGCGAGGCAGACTCTAATTCTGCTACCATTTCCGGGAGCGGAGGTGATTGTTGCGAGTTTTGAATCGAGGTTCCCTTAATGGCGCTTGACCATCTAGACTGGAGTTTTTGCGACAGTTCGGCTTGTGTTGCAGTTCTGACGGTTTCCAATACCTCCGCTATCCGGGCCTCCTCCTCAATTGTGAAATTACTTCCCAGTGTGTCTTCTGCTGGGTCATCTGAAGGTAGAAAAGTTGGTAATACGAGATTGAAGCCTTCGGGCCCATCCATCTCCGGCCTAGGGCTTTGTCCGGGTAGGATGATATTCTCGGGGATGGGGCCGAGACATTCCACCTCGTCAGGGTTAATAAGTGTTCGTTGGACTCGAGAGGAACCCCGTTCGGTTGATGAAGAGTTGGGAACAGAGTTTGATCGAGTCGCGAGATTAAGCTCAAGGGAACGCTCGCGATATGTACCGCTTGAATTGCCTCTTGTGAGAGCAGTAGGGGGGTATTTAGGAGTGACCACGGAGGTCACCATGGTCATTGGGGACACCACTTGCGAGATATGGGTAGACCAGGTGTTGTGTGAAGAGAGCGGAGATGGGTCGGCACAGGCGTTCGATGGTGATCTCTTCATCTCAGGGCTATTTCGGTAAGGGAGTGGTTCCTGTTGCTCGCCTTCGTAGCCGTCTTTAGCATCTTGTCCCTTCTTTTCTAGTTCAACTTGGGCCCAATCGCCTGGTGTATACGCAGGAACAGGTCCTGCCAGTTGGCGGTCCATCTTAAGCCTCGTCTGCTCATACGGGCTGAGGGGATAAGCCTCATCCAAACCAAACCCAACCTCATGATCGACGATCCAGAAATCGTCGGAACCTCCCGTGTCGCCGTCAAGCTCAGCAGGGGGTCGACAAGCGGCCAGCTCGAAAATCTCATTGTCGGGGGCCTCAATCGGTATCGTTTTGTCGATACTTTGATTTTTCGAATGACTACTTACTCGCGCGGGAGCCACCTTGCTCATTATACGAGAAAGTCCCGATCGACTTGGAGGAGTGGTAACTGTGGCGTCTGTTAAAGAGGTTGTTGAGAGCTTTTCTGAATCAGTGTCATTTTCATGCGCAGGTTCAAGTCCACGCTCATTTTCTTGAACCACGTGGGTTTCGGGTTCAGGACTTGATTTCTTCCTCCGAAGACAGAACCAAACGACTGAGAGAACAATGGAACCAGCCACAATTACACCAACAACGATACCAGCAGCGGCACCTTTGGAGAGAGTTCCCTCGGATTCGGCTCTTGTAATAAGAGTAAACCCATCGGCTTGCAATTCAGCAGTCGTCCTAGGTCATATATGTTAATACAGGTTTAAAATCACTAATTTAGCTCGCAAATACAAACCTTTCACTTAATACCGCCGGGCTAGGTCCGGAAGGCAGAGCGTAGACGTGACTGGTCAAGCCGGCGAAGACAAATAGGTAGAGAATGTGGGAAGCGGAGCCGTGTCGAGGCATGGCGCCGCAAGATGTTGTCGTCGACATATCGGCTTGCGACGACTAGATGAGGAGTTGTGAAAGAACGGGCCGGGAGGCTTGGGGAGCTTGACCTGACCAGCTGGTCGACCCTGGCGCAATGCCCCCCATATGAAAAGAACGGAATGCGTAGTCAAAGCGAGAGTGGTCGAGGGTGGAGCTAGTTGTCGGCAAGAGTTGTCTTGGGTGAAATAACCATCGTCCGTCCCCAATCAAAGTTGTCGTCGGGAGAGCCTGGTGTCCAGCGGGAGCCCCTCTAACGCCCGTCCGGTGTCGTGAGTATTATGAGTGCCCTCGGTCGTGGTCTCGACTATCACCACAAGTCGTGGTATTGGGCGCGTGGTCGGGGATAGCAAAACAAACAGAAAAAAGGAGGGGAAGGATGATAAAGGAGGCCAGAAACAATTAGGTGAGCAGAGGTAAAGCCTAAGCTCGCATGAAGTCACCAGAACAGAGAAACACAGCAGGCCAGAACAGGCCGCACAGGCCTCGGAAGTGGACGGCCCTCTGCGGTCACTCTGAGACTCCGCCCAGCTGGCTGGGAAAGACGGCGGGAGGTGGTGCATGCACGCGGTGGTGGGCACGCCAGGATGGATCAAACAGGGGCAGACGCAGGGATCGTGACATGGAGGTCGGGTTGAGTGCAGTAAGTCTGGCACACCACCAAGACCAGACAGGACAAGCCAGGACAGGAACCACTGAAGCACCCGCACCTACCTGCAGCTGCCCACCCGTCTGCACCGTACCTGCCTGCACCTGTGCCTGCGTGGGAGGGGAAGGGGCGAGAGGGGCGAGAACGGAGAGCTCCTTCTCAGTTCTGCCTGCCTGCACTTTTGAGACTTCATACCAGACAGGGACCGGGCGCTCTATCTCATGAACCTCGCTCCTCGTTCCACTGATTTGCTTCACGCACACGACCACCAGCGCATGGACTACAGGGATAACATACAAATCACCAACACACAGTAGCCAGCAGCTAAAGGACCTTTGGATGTAGGCATCATCAACATCAGGTGCTGATCATCCAATATCATCCTCGGTGGGCGACCTGCATCACCGGATTCTGGGTCAATAAGACCGCATAAGTTGGTTGGTGACGATGTAGGTAAGTATCTTCAGCGGGACCCCCTGTCAATCTACAAACCCCATAATGCTTCTGCCCTGAGGGGACAGTTGAGATGAGGCACGATGCGGCCGCCTGGGTGCTTCAGACTCGATACCACCTCTCACTACCCTGTTAGGTAGGTAGTAACAGTACCTACATACGGTTAAGGCAATATATTCGAGGTTAAGCCGATGAAGGCAATTTATTGCCCGATAAGAAATTACACGATCCTCCCCCCCATTGGACGAGATCAAGCTCTCGCAATGTTTTGATAGGCAGCGTAGCGGAGAGACGCAGGCTCACTGGCGAAGCCGGAATCGTGACAGAGCGTGAAAAGCCATGGCCACAAAAACCGGAAGTATCCCCGGGCTATCTTCCATACCGGGCAGCCCCGTCCAGCGAATAGTGGGAACTTGAAAGTAGTAATAGCAATGCTCAGTTGGGACTTGGTTGGCGATATTACTCAGACACCCAATTTTTATATGCCCTGATTGGACCCGAGAAATTAACAAGCCGCATCATATTTCACGTGTGTACCCAATAGTATGGTTCTTTCGTTGGCTGTGTTCACAGCCTGGTGCAGGAGAGGACACCCCGCCATTGAATCATTAGCGAGACTATGTTTTGTATTTGGGGGCAGCATTTGCATTGTTTTGATAATGCAGCGTACTAAATACGCAACGAGTTGGATCGAAATCAAGGCCTGATGCCGCGAAGCCATCCTCAATTCCGGCTGCAAAGCAGATCCCGGCAGCTCTAGAGGCTAGCCAGCCATTAGTGCGGTGCCGGTGTCGTTCCCAGACGACCAGAAGCCAACGTCGAAGCTGACACGCACCAAAACTTGGCTGAGGATCTGAGGCGAGGCTGGACCTGGCTCCCCGTGACGTTGTCGTCGATAACCGACACTATCTGGGTACATGAGACTCCAACTGCGTGGCTTCGGTTGGGGGAGCCATGTGAGAGGATCCTCGCCTGAGTAAGCTCTAAACGCTCGACGACGAGCTGAAGCATGCTCGCCTCGACAGTAAGGCTGAGTGAGCGCGACCCGTCGCGCGCGAGCTCAGCACCACCTACCTGAGAGAAAGTGTGTCACATCCGCCCCCTGATATGCAGACATTATGCGAGATTGACTGATTTCCTTTCTCGCTGTGCCATGCGCTGCCCTGGCCCTCTGTTTCCCTCCCTCTGGAGAGAACCCCCCGGGCCGGATCAAACGAAATGAAGGGAAAGGTGGGGAGGGAGCCAGTCAAAGGTGTGTCGCGCACTGATTAATCCACCAGTGGTCTAGCTGCCGCCTTGGGGGATTTGCCCATTCTCGGTGGAAGATGAAACTGGGCTCCAGAATCCGGTGAGGGACTGAAACTGGGTGCTCCAATGGCCAAGAGCCATATGCACGTTGGCAGCTCTGCGTGTTTTGCCTGTGTATGGGCACACATAATATGGAGCGAGTATAAAGAAAGAGAGGCAGTATTACGCCCCTAAACCATTGCGGATGGATGGATGGTCCTTTGGTAGCGCAGCTTACATGTGATGCTACAAGCTGTTGGCGCGTCTTGGTGCGTGTCTGTTTGTTTGCTTCTGCCCTTATTCCACTTGTCATTCCGGGGTTGGCGAAAAGGATGCAGGACCGTTGATGGAAGTGAGTGGGGACAGCTCTGCTAGTATCAATATCCAAGGTACGCGCATACATAACAGCACGTTATACGAGGCCTCGAATCAAGATCGACTGGCTGGGTGCTACGCTGTACGTACGAAGAAAGTCGCCTGTTCCATGGCTAGCAATCATTCTTTCTACTCTAAGCAGCTGGCACATGGGATCTGGAGAACCGTGGCTCAAGACTGAAGCTCGGTCCAGCGTGGCGAATGCACATGATATGTCGAGCTGCGAGTGCGAGCCCAGGCCCCATGGCTCCTTGACACATCGACCGCAGGGATTCGCGCTGTTCGCTGTCCTGGCAGAGATCCCCCAACCTAATGCCTGGCTCTCATTTCGTGAAATTGGCGACACGTAGTGAAGGCGTCAGCCAATGCAGCAACTAGGACAATTTTTGCTGAAATTATGGATGTCGCTATCGTTCACGATGGGAGGGAAATGGGTTTACAAAATCACCTCGGCCCTGTTTTCTGTATGTTGACGTTTGAGATGTTTCGGGAAAGACGAGTTTCGTGGCTATGCAATCTAGGCCAGGGACACGCAGAGAACCACAGCAAACATGCGCTTCCCACGTGGACGGCAATGTGGCGACCCAGGACAATGGTCAATCTCTCATGCCTCGCGGCATAACGTACATACGCCTCCCGTCAGCATGGCTGCAAAAGTGCAGACGCAAACCCTCACCTAGATACAGACGGGGAGAGGAGAAGAGACCTCCTTTCCCCTAGACCTACCTGAATTAATTCCCCGAGCCCGGCAGTTCAAAAGCAAAGAAGGTCACTGGTCAGCCAGGATATTGAGATCATCAGATTTCGTCCGTATTATGAAACCCACCAAGGCGGGGCCCAAACGCTTCGCACATCGTAATCCCGCCAGAACAGTTTAGCCGGGCGGGCGACGGGCTCATTGTCACTTTGACAGGTGAGACGGCTACTATGTAGGTCTCCCCATCTCGCGGGTAGCGGATGGGCAGTACTTGACGGGTTGGTCGATCATACTGGTGGGAGACAACAGTTGTGTATGTGTGTTTAACCGCTTCGGGGAAGCCTCTGCGTATTACTACTTCTCTCCAGACGACGAACAAGGCTCTGAAATCGAGACTGTAAGAAAGATGGGTCACTGCGGCTCAAACACCGTCCGAATCGACGTAATCCTCCGTGATCGGTTCTGATTCCTCCCGATTATTACGACACTTTGCAAGGCACTCCGTTTGACAGACAAGAGTCGGATCGAGGAAAGAAAACAGATATCAAACACTACTATTTTTAGTGAATGTGATTTTGTTGAGGACGGAGCAGCCGGTTGTTGTCCCTCACGACAATAAGTCGTCGTAATACGAGCCCATCTAGCTCTCGTCGATGTCAAGGTCAGCGATCGGCGCCAGCCTCGAGATATTTATTCCCTGTAAAGGGGTGGCCGAGTTGTCATATTTAGCAGCCGCAAGCTGCGTCGAGACATCTGGATGGTATGGATGTATCTGCAAGTGTTGGCCCTGAAGAGACATGCCCAGTTTCTAGGCGCGCGGCGTGAAGTAGGAGAGTCATATTTTAGGCCTAAAAGAGCTTCCCAATGAAGATGACTTTCAATAACTCAAGTAAACTTTTATACAACTTCCAAGCAATGAACAATTTGTCTGGACCATCAGATTGTTTATAACATTCGTCTCACTCTTTGCTTCTGGAGCCACTCGCAAAGGTACACGATAGATCCCAATCCAACAGGCCAAGGAGTGAACCGTACTCCATGAACCAAGATTTAAATCACTGGATTACAGATTGTGCACGTCGTGATCAAGTACGTATGATGATGGTTCGATAAAAACCATGAGCATCGTCCACGCTGTCCATCTGCCCACCCTAGACCGAGAGAAGCAGTCGTAATAAAGTGTAGGATACCCTGCGAGCGATCAGTGCTCCTCAGGTTGCAAGTGAATGCGTAGGAGGAGAAAAGACAAACATCTTAGCTAGGAACAACACAATATGATCTCATGGTGTTGACACTGTCCCAATGTTCACCTACAATTGACTTCGATGCTGGGTATTCAATACAGCAATCAAGCATCTCACTTTTGGAAACAAGGTCCTCACCCACAGGATAGAGAGATAATATTCTAGGAGAAGTAGAAGCCAGATAATACCGTTACCTGGAGGTTCTAGGCAATATATATATCAATCAAAATCTGCAGATTTTGGGTTGGAGTCGTGGTGCAAGACTTCCGGGAGACAAGGAAGGGAACTTACGGACGGAATGTTGCCTAGATTGAGTTCACTCAACTGGGAGCTAGAACTGCCCAATTTTTCATCCACGCAGAACTACGAGAACTTAAGAGAGAGCTCCCAATCATACCAGGGGATTGAGGAAGTTCATGGAGTTTCCAGGAGACACGCTGCACGGGGAACTTTGACATTAGATGATAACAAATGTTCAAGTATACTTAGGCCGCATATCAAAATATGCGACCATAAGCTGCAAGATTCAGGCACGCTGAGTCTATCAAGAGAATTGAAAATAAAGCAAAACAGTAACATCGAAGATCAACAACCACCGAAAACAAACCCTTCACCATCTCTGAATACCCTTCCCCTTTCCAATACCCTCCGTCTCCAAAGCAGGGAATTCTTCGGATTCCCTGTAGTCCTCAAACTCAGTCGACGATGTTATCAACGTCTGGTCTTGCATGCTCAGGCTAAGAGCAATTGCGAGATCAGCGTCTTCGTCTTGGTTGGTTGATGCCCCATCAAGAACGAAGCCATTGGCAGGGGACTGGGTAGACGATGGAAAGCCTGACCCAGATGCCTTCGATTTCTTCCCATTCTTTGGTTTGTACTTGATTGCGAACTCGAAATCACCTGCGCTGTTGCCGCGTGGAGAGTCTGCAGTGTCGTTTCCACTTTCCAGGAGAGACAGGCGCATCGCCTGCTGTATCTGCTGCTCATACTCATCATCCTCGTTGATACGGCCGTTTCCTGACTGGCTGGGCCCAGCAATGCTTGGCTCGGGGGTGGCAGTATCAGTTGTTGTCCCGCTGAAAGAAGATGCAGTGTCCACACTGGTATCAGCAGCGGAGTCACTGGCTCGCATTTGCTCTTCTTGGTGAAATGCTTCCTCGGATATGAGCTGGGCGTAGAGAAGTGCCTCCTCCTCTGTCAAGTCTCCGAGGGCTCCGACTCCGAACCTATTACGCAGTCGGGCTTTTTCCTTGGCCCTTTCCGCATCTTCGATTCTCAATTCGGCTTCTTCTGCGGCAATGTACCTGGAGCTTGTGCCTCCCTGGCGGCGACTGGCAATACGTCCGTGGATATCGGAGTGCCTATGACGACGCTTTCTATGAGCAAAGTGACCATTTGAACTATACGCCCAGTAACGCATAAAGGCCCCAAAGGAAACGATGCCTCTCAAAATTGTCGGGTCGGGGTCAAGAAAGATGGCGCCAGCAGCAGAATAATTTTCGTGCGCAAGGGCCGGATTCATGACCATCATGTGACGCGGAACTCGACCATTGTGTCTAGAGTTGATCGTCCTAATCGCCTCTACCGTTGAACCCAGGGGATCCCAGACTTGGACAAGACCATCGCTGCCTCCATGAACGAGGTAAAGCGCTGACAGTCCCAAGCTTGAGATCTCGGGGGACTGAGTTTGAATCATACGAATTGGTGCGATTTCAGAGATTCGGTTGTTGTCACGAGCATTCCATACTATCACCTCTCCAGAGCTTGTTCCAATCGCGATAAAACGAGCGCGGCGACCAGGTATTTCTACACTCGCTTGGTTTATATCCGAGGACGTGCGGAGGCTGGCGAGATGATCAGCTACATGCAGCGCATCCTCCGCCAGCGTGTGAGTTGACTGAAGAGAAGAATCAAGGGCGCTTGTAGAAATGGTAGCATTTGCCTGAATGCTGAGTTCCAGAGTTTGCGTGTTCCACTCGTGCTCAGAAACAAGAGATATGGCACGCGGTTGAGGCGTTGAAGGTGGTGATAAAGGTGATTGTGAATCCAAGGGCGAGGGAGTGGGCTCTTGCTCGCCATTGACATGACCGAACAGTGATGTCTTAGGGGCCGAAGGTTGAGTTTCAATGTCAAGGTGAGTCTTTCCCGTCTTGAAAGGACAGATCCGCATATGTCGTTTGACACAAGGGGCCTGACCCTCTGTCAAGCCGCAGTCAATAACGAAAATGCTCTCCCCCACGCCGTCCCCAGAGTCATTGGCAAAATCAACCTCGAGTCTGCGTTGCATGTCCCAGCCCTGGCAAACCTTGAGGAAGTGGGAGGGCTGATAATGCATAAACTTTTCGGCTTCCCGGGCCTTGGCTATCAATTGATCCTTGTCCAACTTCATTGAATCGGAAGGAGGGTAG